TAGTTATTTGTACAAAAGTTCTACAAGCAGTAACTTCCCGTGGATAAGGGAATCCATGAGTCTAATGTTTGAGGTGGTACAGAGAAGCAAAAGCTAGCAAAGCCCAGCCACCAATTGCTTTTCACTGCTCGAGGCAAACGTAAAATCTTTTCAATTTGAAAGGAGGCATACATACATGTACTGGAACGAGGTTGAAGAACGGCATCAATTTTATTCGGTTAGAAATATCTCTCGACACCGAAGACCCTAGGAGAACTTTTAAGCTGTAAAATAATCTTCGGAATTTTGTCTATCTACGCATCGCTACCTAATATGCCTCTCAGTTTTTGACGGAGCATTGCCATGTAAAAGAAGACAGGTCTGAAAAAGTGAAGTTTTTGAGCTCTTGCTACTCTTCTAAAACGGTTTCTCGCAGGAGCTAGTATATTTCTGATAGCTAAAAAACTACTTAACATAGAGAAGCTAAGATTATGGAAAAAGTTGATTTTGAAAAAAAGTTATGATAATTAGGATTCGAGAGCAGATACAGGTAAAATAATCTTAGAAGTTTAGAAAATCCACCGAATTTGCCTTTTAGAAGACTAAAAACGGTGAAAATTCGATGGGCGACAAACAATGGTAACAGGTTTCGCCGAAGTGTGCGGTTCATCTAACATTTCTAGTCAAAAAATTTGGTATAGACCTAGATGACGAAGTCACGTAAGTAAGTCCATCGTGACGTTCCGCAATGTTTTAGGTGGGCTCTGCCCGCTCTCGCGAAATTGAGATGAATTACGGATCGCATACACATGCGTACAATGTACTGATTATTTTCGTCTTTTGTTGGTGAAGTCGTATAACATATGTAAAATGCGACTTCAGCGACAAATGATGACAGAGATCAATGTCTGAGGTCTCAGTCTCACTTTAACTGATAGGCGTTCCGCTCCAAGTTTTAAGCTACTCACCAGAACTGGCAACGGTTGTGAGGACGCTTCTCCAAATTACAAACATTGTTTAGAGAAATCTACGAAGACTAACAACTAGTCATTGGATTGTTTGAAAAGATAAGCGATTGTGTCGAGACGTGTATGCGCAGGGTGCGTGTGTGCCGCGATGATACATATGGAAAGCTTGTTGGACACACTAACCTAACTCTGTTTAAATAACATGGTTTTACAGTAAATGGAAGCTGCTGGGAAGTTACGTGTCAACAGTGTACAGTGTACTTTCCAAACTTGGGTTAAGTTGTTGAGCAGCAGTTTAGTAAACCATTTGCTTGATTTCTCTTAGTTTGAAGAACCGCTCACAAATACGAAAGCCAGACCTGGAGTAAACTTATAACAGCCATTGTAGTCAATTGCTTGTTGGGATAAGCTGCTTCGAAAAAAGTGTCTTACATTGTACGATTGCGCGAAGAAAGCGCTTTCTCGAGCAAAACTTTTCTTATGCTTCTCTATCATAGAACAAGGCGCATCTGTTAAAGCCTTTTTAGCTGATTAAGGCCACAATAGCCTAGCGTTTAAAAGCTACTACTTTCATTTCTCCCTCAACTTTTCTCATTCTTGCCAGAGCTTTGCGGTTTGAACCAAACTGTAATCAAGAAAAATCTGCTTTGTGTTTCATCGGTCGCTCGGCCGTTTTACTTGGCTTCTGCATCGTGCTCGTGGGCGTCCTTTGACCGTCTTCTCACGCCTAAATAGCAATGAAAACTCGCCTTTACACCTCTTTACACGCTTTTAATTGAGTGCGAGACACTACGTTGAGACTGAAGGTATCTCATAAATGTCTATAACTGATTGATATTTCTATAACTTCTCATGTGTGAGAGCACCAAAGTTAATTGAAATAGTTGTTATAAACGATAGCAGAATTCTGGGTTTAGCGTTGAAGCTGATCAATGGGCAGTTGTTCATTGCAAGTAGATTACAGGGGAATGCAATAGCGAGGGTGTGAGCGTGGTGGATAAGTTACTTACATACCTGCATTTGAACACATAAAATACAATGGCCCATGGTAAAGCTGCCTCAGTCGCTCTCAACTGAG